TTTTTTTTTTTTCCTTTTTTTTGTCTTTTTGAGACAGAATCTCACTATGCAGTTCAGGCTGGCCTTGAGCTCTCTTTGCAGCCCAGGCTGGTCTCAAACTCGATACGATCCTCCTGCCTCAGCCTCCCAAGTGCTGGGATTACAGGCGTGCACTACCACACCCAGCGGCTCTCCTAATTTATAAATGTTTTATTTTGAGGGCCTTATTTCTTCCTTAACTTGGTTTCCTTGGGCTTTTAGTAAAAATAGGTGGAAATGGGTCTTTTAATAGTAGTACTTCTGTTATTTAGCATTTTGTAGTTCTTTGTAGGATTTGCTTTTAACTGTACAGTTTGGATAAATATTTTGGTATCCTTTGTTACAGAGATGCATCGTGATTCCTGCCCATTGGACTGTAAGGTTTATGTAGGTAACCTTGGCAACAATGGCAACAAAACGGAGCTGGAAAGAGCTTTCGGCTATTACGGACCACTGCGAAGTGTGTGGGTTGCTAGAAACCCTCCTGGCTTTGCTTTTGTTGAATTTGAGGATCCCCGAGATGCAGCTGATGCTGTCCGCGAGCTAGATGGAAGGTAACTTAAGAAATCTACTAACAGTAAATATTCTGCTCCTTTTTTGTTGTTTGTGTTTTTGTTTTGTTTTGTTTTAAATAAGGTTTCACTGTGTAGTCCAGGCTGGCCTTGAACTGGCTGTGTAGCCCAAGCTGATTGCAAATCCTACCAATCCTGCCTCAGCCTCCTGAGGGTTGGGATTACAAGCGGGTGCCATCACACTTGGCATTTTTTTGGCTTTTTTTTTTTTTAAACTGAAAGTTTTAAGTTACAGGGCTTTCATAACGGAGCCGCATGCAAGCAACCCTGTAATCCTAGCACTTGGGGCGCTGAGATGGGATCATCCAAGTTCCAGGCTGTCCCAAACTACATGAGACGTGCTGTCTCAAAAATAAAGAAAAAACCACTAAAGGGTCAGATACTCATTTTTAAGGAAGATTAATAATGAGCTTATATTTAATCTAGGAAGTGTGACTTGCCTAGTATTGTCCTTTGTGTTTATATTGCTTTACTAGTTGATGGTCTACCTGAGTCTTTTTTTGTTTCGTTTTTTGAGACAGGGCTCACTGTAGTTCAGGCTGGCCTCAGACTCATGGAGGATATCCTCCTGCCTCAGGCTCCTGAGTGCTGGGATTATAGGCTTGCGCCTCTGCACCCAGCTTATGCCTGAGTCTTTTGGAGACTGCGTCTTGCTCTGCAGTTCAGGCTGGCCTTGAGCTTACTTTGTAGCCCAGGCTGGCCTCGAAATCGCAAGGATCCTCTTGCCTCAGCCTCCCCAGTGCTGGGATTACAGGCGTGCACCACCACGCCCAGCCTTTATGCCTGAGTCTCAAAGAGTAATGAGTGTTGACTTTCTCCACTTCTTCCTGGCTTCATTGAACTATGAAACCTAGGAAAATTGTTAGCCCAGAAGATGCAAAAATAAAATTCTGCTTCAGAATTTGGAGAGCAAGTCACGTTGACTTAAATGAAAAGTTAGTTCCTATTGCTCTGAAGCTGTGTGCAAGGCTGTTCATACAAGCGGGGTTGCAGCAGCAGTTTTCTGGGACTTGTCCCTCCCGGTTCCCCCAGCAGGGCATCTTAAACGTGGTTGTGGGTGAGTGGAGGGGGAGGTGGAACTATGTGCGCCTGTGATTTAATGCTGCCCAGTAATTGAGGAGAGAGGTCACATAAAGGGGTAAAATACCCGCTTGTTTAGTTGGAGGGTGCTGGTAAAGAGGAGAGAGACTAGTAAGTTCAGCATAGTAAGTAGCAGCTCAGCTCCTCTTAAGAGATGAGCCTCCAGGGGGAGGAGTCAGGATGGAGACACAGGACAGCTTGTTCTGCAGAGATAAGCCCAAGGGTCTTTGCACCAAACTACTAACAAATTAACATTGAACAGAGGTCTGCAGACACGTAGTTGAGTTCCCTGCAAAGTAGCTGTCAGGTTACTATTTTGCTTTGGTGTGCCTCTCGGGACTAGACTGTTAAAAATGGAATGCCTCTCCCCCTCTGCCTAGGACGTTATGTGGCTGCCGCGTCAGAGTGGAACTGTCCAATGGTGAGAAAAGAAGTCGAAATCGCGGCCCTCCTCCTTCCTGGGGTCGTCGCCCGCGCGATGATTATCGCAGGAGGAGTCCTCCGCCTCGCCGCAGGTACTTGAGAGAGAGCGTGTTTTAGAGGGATTGGTGTAATGGAGTAGCTAGTAGGAGCAGGTGTTTTCTCCTAAAGTTTGTTGGTGGGTTTTAAACTGTAAAGAATCAGAGGTTTCTACCAAACTGGCTGGGTGTAGTTTGGGGTATGTGAGTTGTGCTGAGTGTTGGCTTTTGTCTGTAGGGCACTGTTCATGTTGGTAGCTAGTAACTTCTGTCTTGGATCTATCTTCTAGTTCATCTTATAGTTGCGTCTTTCCCAGTCTTCCCTTATACTTCAGTTTAGGCCTTTTTCCATTTCTTGATTCCATTATGACAAACATTACATTCAATTCTAGCTCTTCACGAAAATGTTGTTTTCTGTTAGCACAATTGTAATATTTATCAAGCTGGCAGCTGTTTTAATGTTACAACTGGTAAAGTAGAAATTCTGAAACTGAAGTCACTGACCAGTAAAGGGGGCTAAAAAAGAAGTAATCCCAGTCATCTGTTCTTCAGTCCCAAATAGGAGAGAATTCAGTTTTTTTTATAATTGAAAGTGACATCATTCTTGGACCAGGCAGTATTGTCTGGGTGCTAACTCCACATCTCCTCAGAACCTCCAAAATAGTTTCTATAGGACTGAATTTACCTCTTACAGGTGGGTGAAGTCCTAGGAGATGAGTTCAAATCTTGCCCCTTTTGCTATTTTGAAAAACAACACACTGTTGCCCATCATAATGAAGAGTATTTGTTAGCTAAATAGATGGTTGTACTGATGGCTTGTTTTTTTTTTTCATTTTTTGTGCTTTTTGGTCCATCTATTAATAAAAATGAACCCCGTTACAGAGTCACCATCATGTCTCTTCTCACCACCCTCTGAATCTGCATTAGCCAGTCAACTAGCCCTTTCAGCGTCATGTGACCAGCGCGCCCCATTCAGCTTGGCTGGTGTCGTTTCACATGACCCAGGCTGGCCAGTCGTCAGGTTGCACCGCCCTTTGGTTCCCGAGCATGCTGTTTTCTCTCAGCCTTCTCTCCAACCTTAACCAAATCGGCAGCAGCCACCTCGACCGCCCACACATTCCTGGCCAATCAGCTCAGCTGTTTATTTACCAAATGTCTTCACAACAACTACAGCAGCAGCCTTCGGCTAACAAAAAAGCAGGAAAAATCCACAACACCCCCTTCGCCAACCAACTAAATCCAACGCAACATCTGGCAAAACCTTTTCAGCAAATTCTTCCTGGCCGTCAGTCCGGCAGCCTCACCTCACCATTTCTAGCTTGTTGAAACCCAAAACTAGTAAGTTTTTCCTGCTTATACAGTTTACTGCTGGTTAAAATAAGGAGTAAGCGGCTTAAAAGTAATTCTTTTTCTGGATCAAAGGCTGGCTGTGCATAATTGAATGGTAACGTACATATATATTGCTTGAAAAACTTTTAAGGGTGATAGGGAACTTGTAACGATCTTCAAGTGAAACTTATTTGCATGTGTGAGATGCCAAACTAAAAATTTTAATATCTCTAACAGATTTTAGCTTTTCTTCCCAGCAAAAATTGGTTGAATCCTATCACCTTTAAATGGTTTTACTAACAGTTTTCAAAATTTTGGGGGAGAAGTGTGGGCCAAGCTAAGGTAATTGTGATAAGCCTGAACACACTCCTAAATGGGACGATCACAAATGGAGTTCTAATGTAGCACTAAATGGCATCGGTATTGACACCTACGGCATTTTCACAAAATGACACTCCACCTGGCACCTAAGTCTTGTTACGGACTTACAGGTTTGCATGGGTTCCAAATACTGGTCTATGGTACTGTTTTTGGGACTACATTTTGGTGTGGTGTTTGGGTAGCGAAGTTAGTTTGACATGAAGTTTTGCATTGGACAGATCTGCTGTGAAGCATTCTTTGTTAAAATGAATCCATGGTTGGATTACCTGCTTTTCACTTGAGCTTTTGTTCCTTAATCCTTCTGTGCCCTTTTTTTCTTTTCTTTTTTTATTTTTGGACGATGGGTGCCAGTTCTTCGGCACATTCACTGGGCCCAACAGTGAGATTGAAAAGTTGGGAATTGCCTCACGCCATAAATACTAATGGATGATTAGCCTAATTTTCTCATTTCTGCTTTTAGATCTCCACGAAGGAGAAGTTTCTCTCGCAGCCGGAGCAGGTAAATACAGTGTGGGGGCCGCTTTCTCAGAAGCACCAAGTCGGAGACTGCTGAGCTGTTCTCTGAGCACTGGCTGGCGGCAGTAGGGAGTCCAGTGGGCTCGGCTGTACATGGCTGATGTTGAATTAAAATTGCAGGGTGGGCCAGGTCTTGAGTCTTCAGGGACTTTAAAGATCTCTTTGCTAGGTGTAATTGTGACTGCGTCAGCTTGACCTTCTTTCTTTTTGGTTTAGGTCTCTTTCTAGAGATAGGAGAAGAGAGAGATCACTGTCTAGGGAGAGAAATCACAAGCCGTCCCGATCCTTCTCTAGGTCTCGCAGGTAAGGTCTTCTGAACTGAGCCATTTAAGATCTTCTGTATATAAATTCTGTCTCATGAGCCATAACTTTGTTGATGTCATTCAGTGGTGCCAAGGTACAGATATGAAATTTAATTTTATTTTTTGTTTTATTAGCCGATCTAGGTCAAATGAAAGGAAATAGAAGACCGGTTTGCAAGAGAAGTGATGTACAGGAATTAACTTCATTGACGGGAGTATGTACAGAAAATTCAAGTTTTGTTTTGAGACTTCATAAGCTTGATACATTTTTAAGATGTTTTAGCTGTTCACCTTCGTGTCTTGGAACAGTGACACACAACAATGTAATTCTCTATGGTTTGCAATGGATCATACGAGGCATGTAATACCAAGAATTGTTACTTTACAATGTTCCCTTAAGCAAAATTAAATTTGCGTTGAACTTTAGTCTTGGCATAGACTGATAATAAACCTCTAAATTCCGCCTAGTTAAAGTGTGTTGTCCTAATGTTACGGAAACAAAACTGGCAAAAATTAAACAAGACCTGTTTCATAGCTGAGGTGATGGTGTGTGAGCATGCCAACAGGTAAAGATCCAGGCTGCACACGAATCTAGGTGAGCGTGTTGTAGGAAATGGAACTGGTCTTCGTGCTGGGCAGAGGTTTCCTGATTGGCATAGAAGAAGCAGGTAAATTTCAAGAAAGTTTACCTTTGCTTCGTCACACGTTCCTTATGTGATGCTGTATATGAATGTGTAGCTGTTTGTATCTTTATTTGGAAACCTGAGATTTCAAGAGAACCAACCTCCTGCCTGTTTAAGGGTACATTGTAGAGCTGAACTTTGCGTTACTGTGCAAGATTTTTTTTCATGCTGTCATTTGTAATATGTTTTGTGAGACTCTTTGGGATTAAAGTTTTGGTTACAAATTGTTATTTAACTTGGAAGCTTGTTTTTCCTTGCAAACTCAAAATATATGAGCTTGATACCAAGTCCAGGTATAACATTCCTATTGGAAGCCATACTTATATTTTCTTGTAAAGTGCTTTTGAATTAATAAAATAGCGTCATTGTGTAATAGTCAGTTGAACCCACTGTTAGCATTTTCTTACCCGTGGAAAGCAGTTGGTTACACAATTCTGAGTTTCCAAGAAACACCTGACACGCAGTATGGGTTAATCTTGTAATGTGAAGGGGATTTTTGGTTACCGTCTAAGTGATGATTAGAAGTTAACCAATTTTTAGGAATTTAAGAGCCATTTCAGGGTCCATTACACTTAGTGACTGACATTTTAAATTTAGTAAGCAGCAACCTGGTACATGTGTAACCCAGAAGTTACCCCCCAAAAACCGCTTTTATTCAGCATGAAAATACTCCAATTCAAAAAATTGCTTCCATTTTGTAATTTGAAATGTTGCATGGGAACTCCAAACTGATCCGTCGTGTACAATTCTCACAGTATGGTTCACCTGTAACAGTGCAGAACTGAGTATGGAGGCATGCGTACCCTTCCTCTTAGAAATCGGGAAGAGCTGTAATTTCAGGCTTTCTGTGCAATTAGATTAAATCATAATGCAACGGTCTCGTGGCTTAGTTTCCTTAAGCGTGCTCTCTAGTTTGGATCTGTATTGCCAGTCCTAAAGAGCTAAGTCATTGCATTGAGTTACATCTGTAAGAAGCAAGATAGACCATAGGTCCTAGAACGGGTTTCCAGTAGTGTCCCCTTAGCCATTCATACAACTCAACAAGAGAGCACGGCTGTTCAGAAGATTCAGTGTGAATCTTCACAGCAGCACATTTTCGGGGGAAGCTTTATTTTTCAGACTCCTGTTGGTTCACTAGGACGTCTGAGTTTGGACCTTTTGGGCTTTGCAATTTCCCTATACTCAATACCTTCCTGTCAGGAACAGGCCAAGGTAGCTAAGGAGTTGGTAAAAGAAGATGACTTACGGGTTGCACTGCTTTTGAAAATGAGCACGGACATTTCTAGGTCCCTGTGCAACTCGCAGACTAGAGAATTCAGGACCTAAGTTAACCTCGCGGTCCTGCCTTGTGTTAGAGTCACAGTTTATAATCACTTTAATAAGGATGTCCAGTGCAATTTTATTTATAGCTTATAAAAAGTGTAGGATATGAAAATAGATAAAAACCTTAACTGTGACAGGCTTTTAGATGGCGTCGACAGCCCCATCTACATTCTGCGTTGGTGTAGTAGGGAAAGGCGGTCCTGCCAGGTTGCAGTGACTACAGGTGCTCGCTAGAGGTCACTGTTAACACTTGGTGCTAACTCGTGGGAGCGTCTAAGGAAAAGTAATGCTTTCAAGTATCTGATTAACTAACAATTTATAAATTAGAGAAATGTATAAATTAGTTGTATACTTGAGTATCTTGCAGGACTTTGCCGTGGGCGTGCAATCTGTTGGTGGCATCTTCACCCTGTTGGACTGCTGTCAGTGGTGGTTGATGCCCAAGCCTATGGGAGAAAGCATTCCTGGTTGAACACACCACTGGTGGATACTTTTTCTAAATGACGTTTTCAGAATCTTGAACAAGGTTCAGTTGTCAGACCTACTTGATAATCCCTTTCACATGTATATCTGTACTGCCACACTGCTGCCTCTGGTTCCTGTTTTTTTAAATTTTATATATATATAAAGGGCTGGGGATTTAGCTCGGCGGCACAGCGCCTTCCCAGCAGTGAGTTCTATTCCCGGTAGCAGGAAATACATATGTATATATATATGACAGGTTTTTACGATTACAGTAGCAGAAGAAAAATTGGCATATATTCTTAGCTGAACACTCTGGTACACTAGTTCTTTTCATTTTGTTAGAATTCATTGGACGCCTGAACATGTTTCTGCCTGTAGCCTGCAGCCTGCTTGAGGCTGAGAAGGCATTACTGAAACTTGCTTGGATGAGGCGGGAGTACTCACCCTGGCAGTGCAGCACTTCTGCTGAGCTGCGGACACTCCAGTGCGGTAGCTCTGTGTTGAGTAACCTGGTGCTCATCTGGACAGGACAGGCCAGTAGCCACAAAGGAGTCTCCAGCTAACACTTGGAACACTGTGTCGTTGCACTGCAGGAGTCTTAGGGAATTGGCTGGCTGTGGTGGCGCATGTCTAACGCCAGCACTGGGGAGGGAGACCACGCTCAAAACTACATAGCAAGACCATCTTGAGGGAACATAAAAAGTCCTTCACTGTGAAGGTGGCAATGTGTCAAGCGAATGGAAATCTCAGCCATTGATAAACTACATTGCTTTCGGGGGGCTGCCTGGGAGGGAGATGGAGAATATTCCCGTTTCCAGGGCAAAATTAAGCCGCCTAAAAAGCGGCAGGAAAATTGCTTGAGTTAGAAGATTTCTACCCCCTTTTTAAAGCCCCATTTCATTCAGTATTTCATTCAATAGTGATTTAGCCTGGGGGTGGGGCTGGCCCTGAACTTGTGACGATCCTGCCTCAGCCTCCTGAGTGCTAGGATGCAGGTATGTGCTACTACACCTGTTGAATCATTTGGAAAAGGGCATGGAGATCAAGTGAATATAACAGTAAGTTCTGAGCTGAAGTTTTTTTTGTTTGGTTTTTAAATTTTTCTTCTGGTACCAGGAATCAAACTCACAACCTTGTGCTTGCCAGGCAGGCGCTGTGCCACTGAACTAAATCCCCAGCCCCTGGGCTCAAGTTTTTGAAAGAATAACCCTCAAGAAGCAGTTTCTAAAGCGCTAGTAATTTTAAACCTCTCTTTCCAGTAAGCACTTTGTCACCCAAATTTAATTACGTTGAAGAAATACAGATAAACAGATGTTCTGCTTTTGTCTGGACACGGTTCCCATAGCCCACAACAGCCGTCTGCTGGGGTAACGAATGTTGACATTTTTTTCCCCTGGTACCAGGAATCATACTCAGGACCTTGTGCTTGTCAGGCAGGCGCTTATGCCACAGAGCTAAATCCCCAGCCCTCGGCCTCCTTTTCTTAGGGTAATTTGTACGGCTTACCTAGAAAGTTTTGCATGCGATTGCACAAGTAGGTGGTATTGACCATCCTGTTGGTACTTGCCTACAGTAGCTTTGAATCATGCATCTGAGGTACATACTACATAGAGCTACAATACAGTGGATACAGTGCTGCAGGTGTTACTGGTTTTCTGAGAGGGTCTCACTAGCCCAGGCTGGCCTCAAACTTGGGTGCTCCTCCCCGAGTCCTGGGATTACAGGTGTGCACCGCCGTGCCCAGCAGACTTGAGAAGTCCTTAGTGTAGGTGTAGATGGAAGCAAAGGTAGCAGACTTTCCCGATATGCAGCGGGTGACAGGGAAACGCCTCTGACGGGCCTGTGGTAGGGTGGATGTGACTAGGGCTGTGCGGAGGGACTTGGCAGGTTGCTCAGGTCTGCAGCTCTGCAGAGATCGCGCCGAAACGGCCGGGTTGCAGGCCGCTTGGAGCGCATGGTCCCAGCCCCATGTTCAGAGGTGAGGGTGTGGACTTGTCCCTCCACATGGAGGGTCACAGTGACGGGGAAGGATGCAGCACCCGGTCCTGAGCTTGTTGCTGGGAGGCGTGAAAACCAGCGTCCTTGCTTTGAATCCTGGCTCATCCAGGAGCCACTTCCAGGCGCTGGAGGATACAGGATGCGGCTTTCCTCACCGGGAAAGAGGGAGTCGGCAGACCTGCTGTCATCTCGGCACTGGGCACAGCCTGCTGTGCTGCGGCCAATGGCGCCTCTGTGCGTGAGCTGGGCCCAGTGACCTGCTCTTGGGGTTCCAGCTAGTTGGGGGAGACCAGCCCAGGTGACATCCGAGTCTGCCAGTCAGTCAGGAACCCCCCCGGATGTGCCTCGGGGTTCCCACAGAGCTAGCACATTCACCACCGGGGACACAGCTGTGGTCCAAGGTCCGGAGGGACGTGGGCTAAAACGGCTGGACGGGTCCCAGAAAGGGGCTCTGAAGTCACAGGGCTGCCGGGAAGATGGCAGGGGCAATTAATTAAGCCTCGACTTGGCTCTTCATAAAAGTGGGTTTTTAGGCCCAGGGTGTAGCTCTGTGATGGGGCTTCCACTTTAGCAAACCAGAGGCCCTGGGTTCAAGTCCCAGCATCAAAGTGGGTAACTGTCTTCTTTCATTTGCTTAAGTTTCTTGAGACAGCATCTCGCTGCGTAGCCCAGGCTGTCCTCACACTCATAGCTGTCCTGCCTCAGCCTCCGCAGTGCCAGGATTACAGGCGTGTGCCACCATGCCCAGCTGGGAGGGCAGAGTTTTCACAGTAGACACCCTAAATTCAGACTGTCTGAGCTGGGAGTGCAGGGCAGATCATTGGTTTCCTCCCCTGAAAGGTGGAGGTAACAAATCATACTTGAGTATCTCTTCTGCCGCACACAGGAGTCCTCTGATCTCTGGGGACTGCGGCCAGCTGTCCCCTCCCCGGCAGTCTTGAGTTCGTCTGCAGTGGACTGTTCCCGAGTTAAGCGCCTATGGCTTGCCCACGGAAGTCAGAGGGGCCACGGTGACAGTCTCACCCCTCCTGTGCCAGCCTCCGTGCCCTTCGCCTGGCACCTCGCCCGCCGCACTCACCCCAGCCCCGGCTGCCAGGTGCAGCGCCCGGCCCGACCTTGCTGGGAGCAGCAGCCTGGTTGGCTCCTCCTCGCGCTCCCGCTGCTGCTGCGGGCGACCCCGGCTCCAGGGTCTGGGGGCAGAGGGCGCTGAGGCGCGGCTGCCTTTCTCCACTCCAGTGCGAGGGGCTCGGCGGTGCGATCCCAGCCCGTCCAAAGCCTGTCCCAACAGCGCGGGCTTCACGGGCGGATTTCTCTTTTGCAAAAATAAAAATGGCAGTGACCCTTAACTATTTTGAATTAAATTCCTGACTTTGTGGCTGGGGCTCAAGCACGTGACCTGAGTCCGGGCCCAGGGAGTAGGAGGAGCCGGGACACGCTGACCACCGTGCTGGAAACGCGGGCCCCAGTAACCTCGCCAGCGAGCCGGCCCTGAAGCCAGCGCCGCGGCGGCCGTGCGGGAGGCGCAGGCCCGCCTGCCGGGGGACTCTCGCCCATCTCCGCAGTCCCTCTGCCCCGGCGTCCGCGGTGCCACGC